GAGATTAAAATAAAGACAGGCATTGGAAATCACAAGAGTATTGATTTCACTTATTCACTGATAAGTGTCCATGAAATTCGTAATTTGTGTTCGAGATTGCAGTAAAGACGGGCATAAGAAATTATAAAAGTATTAATTTGGGCAACTAATACATGTCCATGAAATCTTCACAATTTATGTTCTTCTGCCATGGCTTCAGCCGGCCCCTCCGTTTGGGGTCCCTGACTTCCCGCAACATCTTTGCAACACGCCCTCTCTTCCCATGTTTACTCCTCAGTCCCCCTCGCTATCCCGATTTTCCCATTCTTTCCACCAGTGTCAACACACCCAGTGTCAGTAGACATGGCTTAAGCTGGTTCTATACACATGCATTTGAAGTTCCAGGGAATATTGAAGTGAGTCTGAACTCTCCATAAGTGCCTTGACATCATCAGGTTGAAGGAAATATTCTACAGAAACAGTGGGTGAGGGAGCAGTTGTGCCCATGAGAGGAGAGAGGCCTCCAGAGCAGCAAGAATATTCCCACACACACTTTGGAGGCTGTCTGGTGTTCCAGCAGACACAGTGTGTGGACCTTCGGCATGCCCCTGAGACCTGGTTTGACCCGTAGGAAAGGGCTGTTGTGAACACAGCGTGCATGTTAGTGTGAGGTGAGCGGGGTTGCATGGGATGAGCTCTGGGCGAACTGGCCACATTCCAGCTCCTCAGAGTGCACTGTCCTGTCCCTCCCTCCCCTGGCCGCTTGTCCACCACCCTGCAGGGCGGACCTGGTCCTGCCTGTGCCACAGAGACTCCTGGCCTGCAGATTCAGCTGGGACAAGCAGGAACTCCAAGTCTCTGCACGTTGTCTGCCTTTCCCAGCTGCCGCTCTCAGGTTGTCTATGTGTCTAGTGTTGTCGTCTGCAGCAATTTCCACAATAAACCATGAAGTAAAAACTTCCTTGAGCTGTTTTGAAATGTGGCCCCAACCTGACTCCTCTCTACAAAAATGGAGGTGAAATCCTTCTGTTGAATCTACGTTGGGTGACATCTTGACCAGTTGAACAATAATCTGACTTAGCAATTGCATTTGCTGGGCTAAGGATTACAAGAAGTTCGTATCTTCACTTGCATTGTAAGGTGCCAGCCTGAATGTTTTTGTTCATCTGAAATTCATGTGTTGAAACTTCCCCCAGATGAGATAGCATGAAAAGGTGGGCTTTCTGGGAGGAGATATGTTCAGGAGGGTGGAGTCCTCATGAATAGGATTAGTGCCCCTGAGGAAGAGGCCTCTGTGAGAGCTCCTTCATTTCTTCCCCTCAGGTGAGGAAGCAGTGAGAAGATGCTGCCTATGAACCAAAATGCTGGTCCTCACCAGAAACAAATCTGTTGGCACCTGATTTGACTTCTCAAACTCGAGAACACTGAGAATATATTTCTGTTATTTAAAAGTCACTTGGTGTATGGTATTTTTTTTTTCAGCACCCCACATCTACTAAGATTGATGCTACTTGAAGCCCGGATACCCTGCTTGGAGGTAGTCTAAGCGTTGCATAAAATGTGGTACTGAGACCACTTTCAAGCATGAGCTAGAGAACCCAGAGCAACCAGCTTTCTAGGAAAAAGAAAACGCTGATATGCAGTGTTTGTAAATCTCTCTAGTTCAAATCCTCCTAGCTCTGAGTGGGATATAAAGTGTCACACCTATCTTCTGTGTCATGAGCTGGCATGACCTGGCCCTGGCATCACAGGTCTCATCTCAGCCTGTCAGAACTCCTCACCGAGCCAGCCCCAGCACTCCTCTTCCTGTGCACAAGCATCTGGCCATGAGAGGTTTTCATAGATCCCAGCACCTCTCTCCGATGCTCAGGAGGAGCCACGTCCCAATCGCAAATGTGTGAATGAAGACCTGATCGTGCTGTTTTAATCCATTAACTTTTGTGTTGTCTTTTCACACAGTCCTAGATGAACAGAGGGCATTTTCACAGTACAGAGGAACTGCATATGTACATATTCTGTGTAAATCTCAACTTCTCTTAATGTATTGATGAAATAGAGTGAATTTTCTAGATTTTTTCTCAAAGTGTCACAGAGCCCATTGTGGTGGGGGCATGGAATTGTGAACTCTATGGAGTGACTGAGGAACCCTCCTCTCCCATTCTGATTGAACTTTTTTCCTGTGTGGAGGAAAAGTAGTGTGGATCCAGGTGGAGTCTCAACCTCTCCTCAGTGACAGACTCAGGAGGAGGGCATGGGACTCGGGAGTTGGCTGAAACAATGGAGAGAGAAGCAGGGTTTTCCCTGAGATCAGCAACGTGAGGCCGGGGAGATAACCAATTCATGGCTGTCACCTGGGAGAGAACTCAAGTTAACATCAAGAGAAAAATGGGAATACAAGGTAAAGACAACAAGGTCACTTTACGCTGAGTCCTTCAATCAGGGATTTTATGAAGCCAGAATTCTTTCCTAATTTTCAGGTGTGGCAGTGAAAATGTTAACTCAGCTTGTTGTGGTTTCTTAAATTTGAATGCAAAACTCAACTAATATTTCTGGAAATGATATAAAAACATTACCTAGCTCAGAGAATCTGAGTTAAAGACAGTACAGTGCATAAGAAGAGGAAATGAGGGCCGATGACAGGTGTCCCGGGTGCAGCCTGGGGAACAGACTCCCGGGTGATTTCCATGACATTTCTGTGGAGAACAGCCTTACTGGTTCTGATCAGCAGGACGGAGACTGGCTATGGGAGAGGCTGGAAGGAGAGCCGGTGAGTCAGCGACTGGGACCTTCATACTTGAGATTGAGAGATGGAGGAATTCCAGGTGGTGGCAGGGCCATGGGGTGGAGGGCTGGAAGAAAGGTGGGGATCACTGTCAGCCAGGAGGATACAGCATTGAGAGGTTGGGAGGGTGACTGAGATGAAACACAGAGTGAGCTCTTTCCTAGGTTCTTCATGAGTTGTTTGTTTCTTAGTGAAAAAGGAAAAAATTCAGATATTCCTAAAACAGAATGAGTACTTTTCAGATCTCTTTCCTTCTGGGTTTGTTTCATAAGCTGGGTTTAGGAAAAATCAGAAAAGAAATAGCAAAAGAAACTTATTTCATTTATTGTACAAAAAAATTCAACAAGACGTTTTTAGAAATGTGAAGGAGGCGCTTTTGAAGATGGTAAAATAGGAATCAGACTGTTGCAGTAGGAGAGCCGCGGCATCAAATTCCTGAAGACAAAGGCAGGAAAGGTTAAACCCTGGGTGAGCTAGGGGAAATGCACTGGAGGTCGGCACCCACTCTGTCCTCCCTGGGTTCTGCATGAGCTTCCCCATCCATGCGGTGTCTCAGTGGGAAGCCTGAACCCTGAGCTGCCCTCAGCACCCCGTGCAGGAAACAAGAAGGCTGTTATGTCTTCTGGTGAATCGCTTTCCTCCCTCTTCCCTTATCTCCTCTGAAGCTGTGTTTTCCAGGCAGAATCAGGTTCTCAGAGGTGTTAAGGCAACACAAGAGCATGCGTGTTGCAAAGTGCAGTGGAGCATTTGTGCGTGTGCATTTTGTGAGTGTGAAGATGACTTTATGGGAGTGAAATCCAGGTCTTAGTAGACGTGGCTGGAGGATGCTCTTAATGAGGACATCCCGGTGTGGGCTGCTGCGCTTTCTGTTCCATGCATCCCGCCTTTGCTAACAACTAATTTCCTCTTAAAGAAACAGTGAATCTCCTGTAACCCCATGTCTTAAAAGGCAAATGTGTGACTTGAACACGCTTTGATTAAACTCCAGTTCTTTAGCACAGACCGTGCTGGTTTCTCCTGAGAAGAAATGATTTTGTGACTGCATGAACTTTAAACTGACAATGATTGTTTGCCCAGCACACGGCAGCTCTTTGAGAGTGGATCTAGAGACAACAGACAGAGTGAAAATACAGAGCAGTGGATGGGAGATTGATGGTGGTGATTTGGGCCTTCATTTCCATTTGAATCTGAAGCCCAAAATCCTGCTTGAAATTCCTAGAATGTGGAATGTTGTTTTGTTTAAAACCTTAGGATTCTGGAAGGTGCATCCCAAGTATCTTGAGACACAAAGACACATCAAAGGTGAAAGAGATGTAAAGACAGAAATCTTAAGTGCATAAGGCGTATTTATTTGGGATGAGAAAAGGAAACTGAGGAGAAGGTACAGCAGTAGCAAGAAATTCTTTGTAACTCCCAAAGTAACTTCTGAGCGTATTTTTCTGATTCTGGAAGCTCACTGGCAGCAGATCCGGTGGAGTCAACCACGAAAAGCTCAGGACCCAAGGTGACATTATAACAAACGGCAGAATCCTCGTGTGCAAACGCACCTCAAGCCTTTCGCTGACCTCGGACACAGAGAGAGCATCGCAAATGGATCAGAAGGTCAGCAGTGGGTGGCAAAGGAATCCTGAGAAGTCATGTGCTAGCCACGAGGATGTTGGCTGCATAAGGGCCGAGCATGAACAACTTCAGTCAATAAGAATAAATACACAGAGCAGTGCTGGTCACGCAGGATTTGAGACTTATTCTCATTTGCTTTCATTTTTGTGCTTCTGCCCCATCAGACACACACCTGAACGCACTCTTAGGCTTGTCTCTACTCTTGTGAAACGGTTGTATAGATACAGTCAAATATTCTCCATGTAATGAAGATGACTTGTTTGAATCAAGAACTAGTCAGACTGTCTCTTCATATCTTAAACCTACTGAATTTCACAGACATATCTTGATTTCAAGTTTTATTTTTTAATTTTATTGATTTTCTAAAGTGAAAGGATCATTAAAGAAGTAAGGGAATAAAAGAATGGTTACTCTCCAGGCAGAGCTGCCTCAAGTCTTTATAGACAGAAAATCTGCTAGATTTCTTTGGCTCTCTATTCAATTTATAGATGAGAAAACCAAGGCCCAGAGATGCTAAATGAAGCCACCTAAGTGACATGGATCATTGAGTCTCGATTCCCGACTCTGTCTCCCATCCATCCCTCTAGACCCTGCAGCTCTGCATGCTGGCCTGTCTCACCTGAAAGCGGAAGAGCAGCGTTTTCAGGCCATGTAAAAGAATGAGCCATTCCCTGATCATCTGCTCCAGGCTGCTGCTGGGCGGCAGCTTCATCAGCTTGCCTGACGGCCTCTGCCTGAGCATGCAGGGCCACCAGGAGGCATGGCGGTGAGGAGGGCGAAGGTCCTCATGGCTGAGTGACCTGGAGGAGGGAGTAGGAGGACAAGTCGGGAGAGAGGAGTTAGCCTGGATTTCTATGTCTGCAGAGAGAAGGCTCAGAGACAAGAAATTCAACCTTGTCAGAAAGAGGAGGTGTGATTTCGTTGAGATTGTGTGGGATCCCATTGGTCTCAATGTCCCTGTTTTCTTCCTTTGCTCTCCCAGCTTTCACTCTAGTTTGAATCTCTATGGTTAGTGTCTGTGTTGGCTTGGAGGATGGTGATCATGAGGATTCTGGCATCATTTTTCTGCTTCTCACTTTATGAAACATTTACTTTACTATTCTATGAAGGGATTACAGCAGTGATTTTATTCAACGAGGTCAGGGGACAAATGTGTCTTTTCCTGCAGATGGTCCTACTCCTCTCTGTAGGTCTACCCTCTGGCAGCAGGCATGAATTCCTATCAAGTAAAGAGTCATTTATGGCAGGCATCAAGGGCTTGACCACTCTCATTAAGGCATGAGGTATGTAGCCTCCTGTAGGGGCCAGTGTGAAGAGGACAATGACCCTATCATGCTATAGGTGAAATGAACACAGTGATATCGAGGATTAGAAGTTCATCTACAGCCAAAAATTTGTTTCCAGCTCTATTGAGATAGGAATAAGAATGAAAAATGGTATATATCTGCTTATCTACTGTACTCCACCTTAGATTTGATGTTTCATACATGTGGTCCTTGATCCCTTTATCATATACTATATATACAAATCAACTCAAAATGGAGCGAAGACCCAAACATAGACCTGAAACCATAAAATGACGAGGGAACATGAAGATAACGCTTGTCATTGATGTTGGTAATGACATTTTGCTACGAACACCAAAGACACAGGCAATAAAATGGAAAAGAGACAAGTGGGGCTGCACTGACCCTAAAGCATCTGCACGGCCAAAAACAAACTGACAAACAAATAATCAACTGAGTGAAAAAGCAACCCAGAAAATGAAAGACGATAGTTGCAAATCCTAAGTGGTAGAAGGGGTAAATATCTAAATACATAAGGCAGTCAAACAACCTAATAGTAAATAAATAAATAACCTTGATTGAAAAACAGGCCGAGGATCTGGATTGGCTTCTCTCCAAACAGAAGGGTGTTTTAAGGAGCTATTGTTGTTCTGCTGGAGGGGCGAAGTAGACACATGTAATTAGAAGGAAATTCTTGAGTTTCTATTAATTGAGCTAGCCAATGCCCTGTGCAGCCCCCAGAGGTTCAGACAGAAATGCACAGCAGGGGATTCACCTACCAGGGTCCCTCTGGGGTGGCCCGGAGTCACAGGTCAGATTGGGGGCACAGTCAATGTTCAAACCCCGACAGGAAAGTTTAAGTTTTGTGTTACTTACAGATCCTCAAGTTAGGCAGAGGAAGAGAGAGAGTGCAGACAGCAGTCCTCTGTCCCGGTCTCCTGTAGCAAGAGCAGCTGCAAGGCACAACAGCAGAGGACTTCCCTATTTAAGAGTTATTTGGGATCAGGTGTCCTAATATCCTGGGTTACTTTCCGTTGGGTATATTAAATAACTCTTTTGGTAAGGGCAGTTGAGAAATCCCAGGGAAGCTGGTTCAGACAGGAGTCCAGGAGGGTTCCTCATCTGCCTTGGCTGCCCTGGCCAGGTCCAGGTAACCAATGATGGATTCTCCATGACCTTGGAAGACAATAGACCCCGAGGTGCCTGTGCTGGTGGCTGAGGCTGGAGCTCGCTGCAGCAGGGGAACACTTAAAGCCCCCAGGAAAGCCTGGCCTGGGTGCATCTCTTGGCTATGGGATACACTCTGTTAGGAGACAAGGATGTGATCGCCATGCACAGAAGAGGATGAGGACCTTCCCTGAACAAGCCTCCCAGTACCTGTGTTTCACCAGAACAGCACATCAAAGCTGATGGCTGGGCTGGGATGTTGCAGACCACCTGGTTGAGACTGAATATCACCTCGGCTCGTGCTTCAGGCAGGGCAGGTTCTGTTGTCTATTAAGGATGTGCACACAGTATGGTTCCCTGAGCAGACAGTTGCCTCATTGCTTGGGCAATGGACAGTTTATTAAACTAATGTCTAGGACCATTGTAGCCGGGATTCCTGAGTTTGCTGCTTGAGACCTATTGTCTCTCTGGAAGTCTCTCAGGCGGCCAAGGTGGCAGTGAGACTGGTGTTAGCTTGCATCACCTGGTGTTGTGTGCTCAAATACCTTGTTCCGCAGCCACCTCTGGGCAGGCTTAAGAGTCTCCATACACACAGTGTGAGTGGGATGATCACTGGTCGCTTGAGATATGCAGGATCGAGCTCCTGTGGTTCTTCCTGTGTTATTTGAGGAGAATTCCTAGGAAGACTAGAGCACATTTTACGATGCTGCAACAGTATCCACTCCTCCTCCTTCTCCTAGTAAGGTAGATGGGATAAGGTTTCTGAAAATGAGAAAAGAATGCAGTCACTCCTGAGGCAACAAATACCTACGGTGAGGCTGCTGAACCTAGTGTGCAGGCCGGGCAGCCTCAAGCGCCATGGGAAGGTCGTGGCACAGCGCGATCCCACAGGCTGGGTGCTCAGCGCCTCCTGCAGCTCTGTGTGAAGGAGGCAGCAGGCACTGGGCTGTGGAGGACTGGGGGCAGAGAGTGAGAGCCGAAGCGTCTCCCCTGAACCTAAGTAAGGAGGGAGGCGTCTCAAGCCTTGCTGGGGCGGTCGCTGTGGCAGAGCAGTGGGGGTCAGGGGTTGTCCCTCTGAGAAACACTGAGTTCCTGATGAGTGAGGCCCAGGTACTTCAGCATTGGAGGAAGTCAGCACCAGTCTTATCGCAGCATAAGAAGAAATTTGGGCTATTTGGGGAAACTTAAGGCCAGGATGGTTTTAGGTTCCAGGGCATTAGTAGGTGCCTGTAGGGTCACAATGACGAGGTTATGGGGACAAAATATGAAGGGGTGTGTATGAGCGAGAGGAAGATCTCCGGGTTCTGGATATGCCGTTGTCCTGCGGAAGTGAAACCTGACCTGCTTCCTGCACACAGAACACACTCCAGTCCATAGGCATTTCCCCAGCACTGCATGAATGTTATCACTGGAGAGCTGTTAGATTCGGGCATGGATTCTTGACACAGGCCTCCCAAGTCTACAGTTTTGCCTAGTTTGTAGGGCAACCTTCCAATCTGACTGAGGCTCTATGGGTCTCTTTGCACCATAAAGCATGGGATTATACTGGAAAGCAAGTGGTGATCTCAGCAAAATTCCACTGTAATGAGGTCATTTTTGGGGTAATCAGCAAAGCTTGAGTTCAGGGAAACAGCAAGGCAAGGGTTAGGGTAATGGACATGAGCCAGCGCCGTGTCCTGAGATGACGCAGGTCCATACTCCAAGGTAGCAGGAAGGAGAGGCTAGTTGGTGGTGGTCTCGTGGTCAGCTATTTTCCTCTATAAGCGGCTTTTAAACAAGTAAGTAAGCAAAGAGAAATGACCTTTAAAACATATGCCAGCGAATGAACAGATACTTCTCAAAAAAAAAGACATACAACAGGCCAAGAAACATGAAAAAATCCTCCACATTAGTGATCATTAGAGAAATGCCAATTAAAACGTCAGAGAGATACCACCTCACCCTAGTCAGAATGGCTGTTATTGGAAAGTTTAAAAATACTCACAATGGCAAGACTGCAGAGAAATAGAATGCTTATACACTATCGTAGGGAATGGTAATGAGTTCAATCATAGTGGAAAGCAGTTGAGAGATTTCTCAACAACTTAAAATAGAACCACCACTCACTCCAAGCAATCCCACTCCGCATATATCTGAAGGAAGCAAATTGTTCTGCAAAGACACACGCACTCCTATGTTCATGGCAGCATCATTCATGATAGCAAAAACATGGAGTCAACTCTTAGATGCTCATCAATACTGTTGGACTGGATGAAGAAAATGTAGGTTCACATACATGATGGGATAATTACATTCATAAAAGAGAATGGAGTTATGTCATTTGCAGCGAGATGGATTCAGTGAGAAGGTGCTGCCTATGAATCACAAAATGGGTCCTCGCCAGACACCAAATCTGTTGGCATCTTGAGTTGGATTTCTCAGCCTCGAGAACACCAGGAAATACACTTCTGTTGTTTCTAAGTCCCTTGGTGTATGGCATATTTTTCCCAGCAGTCCACATGCTAAGATTGCTGGTGCCTCTGAAGCCCGGATCCCATGCTTGGAGGAAGTCTAAGTGTTGCAAATCCTGCTAGATATGAGTGGGATAAAAAGTGTCACACAAATCTCCTCCTCCTTCTATGAACGGGCATGATCTGACTCTCAGTGCCTCTACAGGTCTCATCCTCAGCCCTGGGCTCAGAGTTCCCGCTGAGCCAGCACCCTGCCACCTGTGCACAAGTGTCTTGAGCCTGAGGTTTTCAGATCCCAGCAGCACCTCTCGTCTGATGCCTGTGGGAGGAGCCACCCCCCAATTTCAAATGTGTGAGTGAAGACCTGATCATGTTGTTTTAATCCATTAAGTGTTGTGGTATCTTTTCACACTGCCCTAGATGAACAGAGTGCAGTTTTCACAATATCAGTGAGAAACTGGACGTGTGTACATTTTTTTGGGTGTGTAAATCAGCTTCTCTAAAACATTGATGAAATAGTACAGAACTTTTTCAATTTATTCCCAAAGTGTCACAAAGAGCCCATTGTGGTGGGGGCATGCAATTTTGGACTTCTTGAGGGACCCTGTCTCACCCATTCTTAGTTTGAATTTTTCCTGTGGGGAGCAGGGGTAGGGTGGGGTCCTCAGGTGAGTCTCGGCTTCCCTCAGTGACAGACTCAGAGGAGGCGTGACTCCAGAATTGGCTGAAACAACGGAGAGAGAAGCAGGAGTTTTCTCCTGAGATCAGCTATGAAGACCAGGTGAAATGACCACAATTTACTGTTGTCATCTGGGGTGAGACTTCAAGTTAAGATCAAGAGAAAAACATGGGAAAAAAGGTAAAGACAACAGTGTGACCTTATGATTAGAGTCCTTGGATCAGGCATTTATGAAGCCAGAATTCTTTCTTTTCTTTCTTTTCTCCTCTTTCTTTTTTTTTTAAACAGAGTCTCACTCTGTCACTCAGGCTGGAGTGCAGCGGCACGATCTCGGCTCACAGAAACCTGCACTCCCAGGTTCTGATTATTCTCTTGCTTCAGCCTCCTGAGTAGCTGAGATTACAGGCATGCGCCACCACACCCAGCTAATTTTTTTCTGTTTTCAGTAGAGACGATTTTCACCATGTTGCTCAGTCTGGTCTTGAACTCCTGACCTCATGATCCACCCTCCTTGGCCTCCCAAAGTGTTGGGATTACAGATGTGAGCCACTGTGCCTGGACCAGAATTCTTCTAATTTTCAGGTGTGGCAGTCAAAATGTTAACTCAGCTTGCTGTGGTTTCTTAAATTTGAGTGCAAATCAGTTAATATGCCTGAAAAAGATTGAAAAATTATCCAGATAAGAGAACCTGAGGCAAAATGGTGCAGTGCATAAGAACAGAAAACGAGAGCAGACGACAGGTGTCCTGGGTACAGCCTGGGGAAGAGATCGCTGGGTGATTCCCATACACAGCCCTTTGGGGGAGAATTAGCCTTGCTGATGTTGATCAGCAGGAAGGAGGGACAGCTATGTGAGAAGCCGGAGGACAGTGGGTGTGTCAGGGTCGGGAACTTCATAGTTGATGTTCAGAGATGGAGGAATTCCAGGTAGTGGCAGGAGTTAGGGAGTGGCCATGGGGTGGAGGGCTGAATGAGGTGGCAGTCCCTGTCATCCAGGAGGACACAGCTTTGAGATGTTGGGAGGCTGGCTTCCAGGAAACGTTAGAGTGAGCTCTTTCCCTTAGTTTCTTCATGAGTTATTTGTTTTTTAGTGAAATGGAAAAAAATACAGATATTTGTAAATGGAGTGAGTACTTTTCAGATTCTTTCCTTCTGGTTTTGCTTGTGTTTGTGCTTAGAAAATCAGAAAAGAAACAGCAAAATAAACCTGTTTCATTTGTTGAACAAGAAAAAATTCACCAACTCTTTCAGAAATGCTTATTGATGACTTGGAATGGGAGTCAGAACGCTGCAATAGCAAGAGACGTTGGCCCAAACTTCTTCTGGAAGCCAGCGCTCGAAGTTTAAGCCTCCTGGGAGAGGTAGCAGAAATGCACTGGAGGTTGGTAGTGGGAGTCTTGCAGTGTGATTGGGCCATCTGAGTTTGCTAATGAAGTACTGGAGTTAGGCTCACCTGCCTTGCCAGAGACAGGGCTGCTGTCCCCTCGGAGTAATTACATTTAAAGGCATGAGGCATCTATCTTATTCCTTATTTCCTTTTCCTGCTGCATGAGTGGCTCATTTAAGGTAGAAAAGGTCTTGTATGTCATTAGTAATCCTAGAGTGTACATGCATCACAGTAAACAGTGTTGTGCCTCATCTGAGGCCGAGCAAGTGGCTCCTGGGTTGTTTGGAGACCCTCACACCTCTCCTGAATTCTCTGTCCTAGAGTTTGCAGCTATCATCGCCCACCCTAGACTGCAGGAGCAGAAGCCACATGTGGTGCTTCCAGTGTGCCTTTATCCACACAGAGGAGCAGGGAGGCTCCGTCCTCATCTGGCCCCTTTCCCTTGGATTGATGGATGCTTCTCAGCACATCAGTCTGAATTCTCCTCCAACTTTCTGTCTGGCAAATATCCATTCCTCTAAATTCAGTGAGGTCAACCTCATCCTGTAGCCTCTTGCCCTGATATACCATTGGGTCCACCAAACATTTTCTCTGCTTCTTTTAATCTCTCCATGTTTTAAAAGTATTCATGTTGTACTTGAAGATTCACATGAAATCTTTTTGCCACCTCTAGCCAGAATGGCCTCTTTCTTCTAAAGTCCTAAAGCTTCATGACACCAAATCGTACCCATGATGATTTTTCATCTTTCAGCCTTGAATGTTTTTATTTATTTTACTTTTAAAGGTGTGCTGTCATAGGTCTAGAGACATGGGCCGCTGTACCTCTGTTGAATTTAGCTTTTTCCTATGGAATTTAGTAGTAACAATTCATAAATGATTTTATGTTGTGATGTGCTATTAGATGTAATTAGTTAATGTAATCAGAATTAATTTATTAACCCCCTACTTTATGTTGCAGTCATCCATGCACTCTGGTGCAACAATAAGCAAAACATGCAGCTTCCCTTCTAGATAAGGAGGCAAATGTTACAGATAGTACGTGAAGTGTACAGGGGGTGAGATGGCTGAATTCTGTCGTTAGCAATGAGGAAGATCCGGGGGAATGGAGGTGACTGGGGGAACTTGTTGCACTTAAAACGGAGAGATCAGAAAAGACCTCAGTGACCAAGTGAAGTTTTAGCTGAGACTTCAGATGCTTGGGAGGAAGCCAGGTGGACCTCGGGCAGATGCCCCAATATACAGTCATCTTGACCCAGTTCATAGTTCAGAATAATATGGAAAGTTAATTCAGGGACCACATGATTCCAGGTCTGTAGAAGTCACCAGAGCCCAGAGAAGGCCTCCTGGCTTCACAACCTGCTTCCCTATTTGTGTCCTTCTACTGTCTAAACAACAAGTCTGGGATCATTACCCACTCTGTCCTCCCTGGGGTCTGTGTGGACTTCCCCATCCATGCAGTGTCTTAGTGGGTACCTGGACCCCTGAGCTGCCTCAGCACACTGCAGCAACAAGAAGGCTTCCATGTTCCTGGTGTAATGCTTTCCCTCCCTCATCCCTTCTCCCCTCTGAAGCTGTATTTTCCTTATGTTATGAACAGGTTCTCAGTGCAGCTTTTTAGGGCAACATAAGGGAGGGGCACATTGCAAAGTGCAGTGGAACATTTGTGTGTGTACATTTTCTGGGTGTGAAGAACACTTTATGGGTGTGAAGTTCTGCATTAGTAGACCTGGCTGGACGATGCTCTAATGAGGACATCCTGGTGTGGGCTGCTGTGCTTTCTGTTCCATGCATTCTGCTTTTGCTAACAACCCACTTCTCTTCTAATGAAAGTTGCTTCCAGTGGGTCTCCCTGTAGCCCTATGTCTTAAAAATGCAAAAGTGTGACCTGATACATTCAATAAAACTCCCAGTTCTTTAGCACAGAGGATGCTGGTTTCTTCAGAGGAGTGATTTTGTGACTGCATGAACTTTGTTGACAACAATTGTTTGCCCAGCACATGGGAATTCTTTGAGAGTGGATCCAGAGTAAATGAGGCAGAGTGAAAGGTAGAGCAGTGGATGGGGTGATTGATGGTGTGATTTGGGCCTTCATCACGAGTCCGAAGCCTGACTCCCGCTTGAAATTCCTAGAATTGAATTTTTGTTTTGTTTAAAACTTATGATTCTGGTAGATGCATCCCAAGTGTCTTGAGATGTACACACATCAAATATGAAAGAAATCTAAAGACAGAAATCTTAAGTAGAAGGTATTTATTTGGGATGAGAAAAGAAAATTATAGACAAGGCACAGGAGTAACAAGAATTTCTTTCAACTCTCAAAGTAACTTCTGAGCGTATTTTTCTTGATTCTGGAACCTCAGCGGCAGCAGATCCGACAGAGTCAACTACAAAAAAAGCGCAGACCCCAAACCGCCTCTTTATAACAGACGGCAAATTCTCGTGTGCAATGCACCTCAAGCTCTTCGCTGACTTCTGGGGACACAGAGAAAGCATCATAAATGGATCAGAAGGTCTGCAGTGAGTGACAAAGGGAATCCTGGAGAAGTCATGTGCTAGCTAATGAGGGATGTTGGCTGCATTCGGGCCGGTAGCAAGAACAACCTCAGTCAATAGGAATAAATACACAGAGCAGTGCTGGTCACACAGAATTTGAGACTTATTCTCATTTGCTCTCATTTTTATGCCTCTGCCCCATCACACACACACCTTGAACACATTCTTAGGCTTGTCTCTACTCTTAGAAACGGTTGTGTAGATACAGTAAAATATTCTCCGTGTAATGAAGATGACTTGTTTGAATCAAGAAAGAACTAGTCAGACTGTCTCTTCATGTCTTAAACCTACTGAATTTCACAGACATATCTTTGATTTGTTTCAAGTTTTATTTTTTAATTTTATTTATTCTCTAAAGTGAAAGGATTATTAATGAAGTAAAGGAATAAAAGAATGGTTACTTTCCAGGCAGAGCTGCTCTAAGTCTTTAAAGACAGAAACCTGTTAGATTTCTTTGGCTCTCTATTCAATTTATAGATGAGAAAACCAAGGCCCAGAGATGCTAAATGAAGCCACCTAAGTGACATGGACCATTGAGTCTCGATTCCCGACTCTGTCTCCATCCATCCTCTAGACCCTGCAGCTCTGCATGCTGAAGCCTGTCTCACCTGAAAGCGGAAGAGATGGGCGTTTTCAGGCCATGTAAAGAATGAGTCATTCCTGATCATCTGTTCCAGGCTGCTCCTGGGCGGCAGCTTCATCAGCCTTGCCTGGACGTGCCTCTGCCTGGAGCATGCAGGGCCACCAGGAGAAGCATGGCGGTGAGGAGGGCGAAGGTCCTCATGGCTGGAGTGACCTGGAGGAGGGAGAGTAGGAGCGGACAAGTCAGGAGAGAGGAGTTAGCCTGGATTTCTATGTCTGCAGAGAGAAGGTTCAGAGAGAAGAAACCTTGAACCTTGTCGAGAGGTGCATTTCATTGGAGATTGTATGGGATCCCATTGGTCTCAATGTCCATGTTTTCTTCCTTTGCTCTCCCAGCTTTCACTCTAGTTTGAATCTCTATGTTTAGAGTCTGTGCTGGGTGGAGAGGATGTGAAGATGAGAAACCTGGCATCTTTCTCCTGTTTCTCACTTCATTACATATTTACTTTTTACTGTTCTACCAAAGGATAACAGCAGTGCTTTGTTCAGTAAGTTCAGGATACAAATGTCTCCTTTCCTTCAGATGGCTCCACTGCTCTCTATAGGTCTACACTCTGGCAGCAGGCATGAATTTCCTATCAAGTGAAGAGTGATTTGTTGCAGGCATCATAGGCAAGACTACTCTCATGAAGGCATGAGGTATGTAGCCTACTGTAGGGGCCAGTGTGAAGAGGACAATGACCCTATCATGCTATAGGTGAAATGAGGTAATCACACAGTGATATCGAGGTAAAAATTTCATCTACAGCCAAAAATTTGTTTCCAGCTCTATTGAGATAGGAATAAGAATGAAAAATGGTATATATCTACTGTACTCCAACTTAGGATTTGATGTTTGTGTACATGTGGTCCTTTATCATATACTATATACACAAACCACCAAAATGGATTGAAGACTCAAACATAGACCTGAAACCGTAAAAACCACTACTAGAGGAACATATGAAGATAACGCTGTGACATTGATGTTAGTAATGATATCTTTGATGCAACACCAAAGACACAGGCAGTAGACGAGAAAAGAGACAAGTGGGGCTGCATCGACTTAAAGCATCCGCAGACATCAAAAACAAACCAACAAAAACAAAACAATCAACTGAGGAAAAGGCACCAGAAAATGAAAAGACAATAGTTACAAACCCTAAGTGGTAGAAAGGGTGAACATCTAAATGCATATGAAGTCAAACAACTAAATAGCAAATAACAAATAACCCGATTGAAAAACAGGCCGAGGAACAGATCGCCTCTCTCCAAATAAAAGGGTGTTTTAAGGAGCTATTGTTGTCTCTGTTGGATGTGTCAAGTAGGACACATGTAATTAGAAGGAAATTTCTTTGAGTTTCTCTATTAATTGAGCTGGTAGGCCAATGCTCCCAGCAGCCCTCAGAGGTTCAGACAGAAATGCATAGGGATTCACCCAATTAGGTCCCTCTGGGGTGGCCCCGGGAGTCACAGGTCAGATTGGGGGCACAGCTTCAATGTTCAAACCTCTCGAAGCAGGAAAGTTTAAGTTTTGTGTTACTTACAGATCCTCAAGTTAGGCAGAGTGAAGAGAGAATGCAGACAGCAGTCCTCTCTGTCCCGGTCTCCTGTAGCAAGAGCAGCCGTGCACAACAGCAGAGGACTTCCCTATTTAAGAGTTATTTGGGATCAGGTGTCCTAATATCCTGGGTTACTTTCCGTTGGGTATATTAAATAACTCTTTTGGTAAGGGCAGTTGAGAAATTTGGTGGGAAGCTGGGGTTCAGACAGGAGTCTAGGGAGGGTCCCCTCATCTGCCTTGGTCAGCCCTGGCCAGGCCCAGGCAGCAACCAATGATGGATTCTCCATGACTCCTAAGATAATGAACCCCGAGGTGCCTGTGCTGGTGGCTGAGGCTGAGCTAGCTGCAGCAGGGGAATATTTAAAGTCCCCAGGAGAGCCTGGCCTGCATCTCACAGGATACACTTCGTTAGGGAGACAAGAACACAATCACTATGCACAGGAGAGGATGAGGAATCTTGCCCTGAACCAGCCTCCCTAGTACCTGAGTTCTCACCATTACAACACATCAAAGCCGATGGCTGGGCTGGGATGTTGCAGACCACCTGGGGGAGACTGAATCCCACTTCGGCTTGTGTTTCCAGGCAGGGCAGGTTCTGTTGGGTTCGTTAAGGATGTGCACACAGCATGTGGTTCCCTGGAGCGGACAGTTGCCTCATTGCTTGGGCAATGGACAGTTTAAGGCTAAACGAGTGTCTAGGATCATTGTAGCCGGGGACTCCTGAGTTTGCTGCTTGAGACCTAATGTCTCTTGGAAGTCTCTCAGTGAGGTGGTCAAGGTGGCAGCGAGACTGGTGTTAGCTTGGATCACCTGGTGTTGTGTGCTCAAATACCTTATTCCATAGCCGATTCTGGGCAGGCTTAAGAGTTTCCATACACACAGTGTGAGTGGGATGATCACTGGTCGCTTGATCGAGCAGGATCGAGCTCTGTGGTTCTTCCTGTGTTATTTGAGGAGAATTCCTAGGAAGACTAGAGCACATTTTAAAATGTACCACTATCCACCCTCCTCGTCCTTCTCCTAGTGAGGTAGATGGGATAATAAGAAAAGAATGCAGTCACTCCTGAGGCAATAAATACCTACGGTGAGGCTGCTGAACCTAGTGTGCAGGCCGGGCAGCCCCTGCCACCATGGGAAGGTCGTGCACAGTGCTGGTCCCACAGGCTGGGTGCTCAGCGCCTCCCCTCCAGCTCTGTGTGAAGGCAGCAGGCACTGGGCTGTGGAGGACTGGGGGCAGTGGAGTGAGAGCTGAAGCGTCTCCCTCAACCTTAAGTAAGGAGGAGGCATCTCAAGCCTTGCTGGGGTGGTCGCTGTGGCAGAGCAGTGGGGTCAGTTGTCCCTCTGAGGAACAGTGAGTTCCTGATGAGTGGAGGCCCAGGTACTTCAGCATTGGAGGAAGTCAGCACCAGTCTTATCCCAGCATAAGAAGAAATTTGGGCTATTTGGGGGAACTTAAGGCTTGGTGATGGTTTTAGGTTCCAGGGCATTAGTAGGTGCCTGTAGGGTCACAATGATGAGGTTATAGGGACAAAATGTGAAGGGGTATGTATGAGCGAGAGGAAGATCTCGGGTTCTGGATATGCCCCGTATCCTGTGGAAATGAAACCTGGACCTGCTTCCTGCCCACAGAACACACTCCAGTCCATAGGCATTTCCCCAGCACTGCATGAGTGTTTTCACTGGAGAGCTGTTAGATTCGGGCATGGGTTTCTGACACACAGGCCTCCCAAGTGTGTAGTTTTTGCAAAGCTTGTAGGGCAGCCTTCCAATCTGACTGAGGCTCTATGGGTTCCTTGTACCATAAAGTAATGGGATTATACTGAAAGCAAGTGGTGATCTCAGCAAAATTCCACTGTAATGAGGTCATTTTTGGGGTAATCAGCAAAGCTTGAGTTCAGGGAAACAGCAAGGCAAGGGTTAGGGTAATGGACAGGAGCCAGCGCTGTGTCCTGGAGATGACGAGGTCCATACCTGTAGCAGTAAGGAGAGGCTGGTTGGTGGCGATCTTGTGGTCAAAGTGATTTTCCTCTACAAGGAACTTAAACAGATAAGTAAGTAACAAGGAAATAACCCTTTTAAAATGTGTTCCAGGGCCTGAACAGATACTTCTCAAAAATAGACATACTGGAGGCCAAGAAACATGATATTCATAAAATGGAATGAGTACTTTTCAGCTCTTTCCTTCTAGTTTTGCTTGTAAGCCGAGTTTAGAAAATCAGCACAGTAACAGCAAAGGATACCTATTTCATTTATCATGCAGGTAAAAATTCACCAAGATTTTTGAAAATGTGAAGGAAGCGCTTACTGAAGACTGTTGAAATGTGAGTCAGAACGTTGTAATAGGGAGAGCCATTGGCCTCAAGTTCCTGAAGACAAAGCCAGGGAAGGTTAAGCCCTCGGAGAGCTAGCGGAAATGCACGGGAGGTTGTTAGTGGGAGTCTTGCAGTGTGATTGGGCCATCTGCATTTGCCAGTTTGTGCTTACTGGAGTTAGGCTCCTACCTGCCTACAGAGACAGGGCTGCTGTCCCCTTGAGTAATTACATTTAAAGGGATGAAGTATCTGTCTTATTCCTTATTTCCTTGTCCTGCCACATGAGTGGCAGGTAGAAAAGATCATGTATGTCATTACTAATCCTAGAGTGTACATGCATCGCAGTAAACAGTTTTATGTCTCATCTGAGGCCGAGCAAGTGGCCCTGGTTGTTTGGAGACCCTCACTTCTCTCCCTCAATTCTGTGTCCTAGATTTTGCAGCAGTCATCGTCCACCCTAGACTGCAGGAGCAGAAGGCACATGTGGTGCTCCCAGTGTGCCTTTATCCACACAGAAGAACAGGGAGGCTCCGTCCTTGTCTGGCCCTTTCCCTTGGATTGATGGATGCTTCTCAGCACATCAGCCTGAATTCTCCTCCAGCCTTCTGTCTGGCAACATCCATTCCTCTAAATTCAGTGGAGGTCAACCCTCATCCTGTGTAGCTCTTGCCCTGATACCATTCTGTCCACCAAATATTTTACTCTACCTCTTCTTTTAATCTCTCCACGTTTTAAAAGTATTCACGTTGTACTTGAAGATTCACATGAAATCTTTCTGCCACCTCTAGCCAGAATGGCCTCTTTCTTCCAAAGTCCTAAAGCTTTATGACGCCAAATCGTACCCATGATGATTTTTCATCTTTCAGCCTTGAATGGTTTTATTTATTTTGTTTTTAAAGGTGTGCTGTCATAGGGTCTAGAGACATGGACTGCTCTACCTGTGTTGAATTTAGCTTTTTCCTACAGAATTTAGTAATAACAATTAATTAATAATTTTGTATTGTGATATGCTATTAAATGTAATTAGTTAATGTAATCAGAATTAATTTATTAACCCCCTACTTTATGTTGCAGTCATCCATGCACTCTGGTACAACAATAAGCAAAACATGCAGCTTCCCTTCTAGATAAGGAGGCAAATGTTACAGATAGTACGTGAAGTGTACAGGGGGTGAGATGGTTGCAATTCTGTCGTTAGCAATGAGGAAGATCCGGGGAATGGAGGTGTCTGGAGGAACTTGTTGCAATTTAAAATGGAGAGATCAGAAAGGACCTCAGTGACCAAGT